TTAGTTATTTAAATTAAAGCTCTTGTCAATCAATTTTGCTTGTGTTAAGATTTCAGTCCCGAAAATGTACAGCATAGTGCCATAATATGTTAAAAACTATACTCGTCCCTCTTTTATTGGAAGGAAAGCAAGAAGCAATTTACACGGAGACCTCTAAACGGCCAAGGGAAAAGTAATTGAAAGATGGGAGATTGAGAGAAGGCGCTGAGCTCTGAATGCTGTGGTGGAGATAACATTTACAGCACAGCGAACAAGAGCGCATTGTGAGCTTCCAGCAGGAAGAGATGATCTTTCTCAATGACATGCTTCAGGGGTGAGTGGTTTTTCATTAATCCCTGCATATGAAACAGCCGTCCAGATCGGCGCCAGTACTTGGAGCAGGGAGCGAGAGCGTGCTTTCCCTCCCCAGCCCCCGCGCAGGGGCGCAGAGCGGCGCGGCCGTCTGAAATCAACTCGCTCCTGGCTGCACACTTCCCCGGGGTCAGGGAGCAGAGCGCTGGGAAACCCCAGTGGAAAACGGGGCGTCTGGAGACACAAGTACCCCAGGATGCAGCAGGGCAGCATGACCTGCTCCTGGGCCTCCCATTACTCTGGGGCTCATACTGGACACCCCCATCTTTCCCAGTTACTTACAGCACTCCCCAAAGGAAGAGCCAAGAGCCAAGAGACACGTTTCCAGTTTGAATTTCGAGAGGCTGGGTGGAGGCTCAGTGATAAACTGCACGTCCGCATGAGCTCTGCTTCACCAGTCCTACACCTGTACCAGGTGCATCAGGCTCTATACAGAGTATACGGTAGATAGTCACGTTTTCTTATGTAAAATCATGTTGCTAACAGGTCTCGGTCCTTGCAGGCACACTTCAGGGGCAAATGAAGAAACGTGGTTTTAAGTAATTATAGATGGTGACTCTTCTCTCATGTGCGGAGGATTCTGTTTCACTCCCTGCAGCAGCAGGATTGATCTTTCCGGTGTGCGTGAGTCCGTGACTTTGCTCTCCGGCCCCTTGTGATCCTGATCCTGTGCATCGGGCGAGAATGCCGTGTGTAATGAGTAGAAAGGTGAGGAGCTACCACAGGAAGCCTTTATAGCCTCTTACCCCTGGCAGATGGGGTGAAAACAGACCTGACGTCACAAGTGAAGTCAGCGTGATGCTCTCATTCTGGCCGCGAGCTGACATTCGCCCACAAGCCTGAGAAATGACACCAGTTAGCTCACATCGCCACTTTCTCTGGGGCAGGTCCAGGGCTGAGTGGAGATGGGAATCACGCCAGGCCTGAGGAGCAGCCGTGCTGCTCTTGTGGAGTTTCATTGTAAACCTCACTTAACGGGCCTCTGGGTTCATCAGAAACAATTTGACTTTCCTGATTTCCACATGTACATTTGTCAACTGTTGTATTGAATCCAGTTGACTTCAATAGTTGTTACTCAACTAGTGGACCTTCCAGTCCAGTCCTTCTGATTCAAGCTTGCTGCTTGATTAGTTAATAGGCAATTTGCAGGATCAATTTAACATTTAAGGTGGATGTGCAGTGGTGGTGTGTCCCTGGAATATGACAGCACAGGAAGTGTCCTCTCAGGATTGGAACCTGGAATAAAGGAATATTTTTATCTATCTGCAGGATATATCCAGCTACAGTACATGTTAGTGCTTTACCCAGTGATCCCCTGGAGCCTCCCTTAAGTATTATTTCATGACCTGTAAGACTCTGATGAAATGTTACTTTGATGTTAATTAATATTAGCATGAAACCTAGACCGCTGAGAAAACTGGCCCTGGTGTGAGTGTGTGTGTGTCTGTGCCTGTCTGTGCACACCCTGCGATGACTTGG